CCCAATTTCTAGTACCAACCACACTGGTTGGCACAGAGTATGGTTCAATAAACGTTTGCTGGCTGAGAGGCAGATGCGTTTGTAATTATCATGTGAGATACCTGATGTAAGAAAAGGGAATAGCTACCTGGCAGATGTGACTTAATTTGCATCCTCCAGGCTATGGCTTTTAAGATGTCAATCTTCAGGGTGTGCAAAGCAGAAGGATCCCTTGAAGCCAGGAGCTCAAGCCCAGTCTAGGCAAAAGAGTGAGACTCTGTTTCTCCAAAAACATATAAAGTTTAGCAGGGCATGCTGGCATGCCCCTGTAGTCCCAGCTACTTGGCAGGCTGAGGTGGGAGGATCCTTGAGCCTAGGAGTGTGAGGCTGTAGTGAGCTATGATCATGCCACTGCATTCCAGCCTGGAAGACAGAATGACACCTGATTTTTACACAATTGGAGACTGAAATATAATCTGTAATCAGTTTTTCATTTACTGCATTTGAATATTTGCCTTTGTTGCAAAATATTCCACAATATACTTCTTAATGTTTAGCTTATTTTTTTCCAATTTATACCAAATTGTTGGATATAAAGTTTGTATCTTTTTGATATTAGAAATAACTCTGTAGTGAGTGTTTATGAGCTGAAATCTCAGATAAACTCAAGTTGAGATTTTTAAAAATTGGTTTTAAAATTTGGATACTTAAACAGTATATATGCACACGATAAGAAAAAGAATTACCTAAAATTGTATAGTTAAAAAAATCTCCCTTGGCTGGGTGCAGTGGCTCACGCCTGTAATCCTGACACTTTGGGAGGCCAAGGCAGTCAGGAGTTTGAGACAAGCCTGGCCAACATGGTGAAACCCCGGTCTCTACTAAAAATACAAAAATTAGCTGGGCGTGGTGGCACACGCCTGTAATCCCAGCTTCTCGAGAGGCTGAGGCAGGAGAATTGCTTGAACCTGGGAGGTGGAGTCTGCAGTGAGCCAAGATCACATCACTACACTCCAGCCTGGGCAACAGTGAGACTCCGTCTCAAAAAAATAAAATAAATAAAATCTTTCTCTTTACTTAGACCCTCAGCCCCAGTCTCTAGAGGTGACCACTGGTAAGTTTTCTAAGCGACAGCAAATCATATGCCCTGTTCTGAACCTGGCATCTGATACTTAACAGTACAGATAGAAACATTCTTAGTCAGGTATTTTCCTGAAGGAAAAGTTGCAGCAGTTTACACTCCCACCAGCAGATATGGGAATCTGGTTCCCTGTACTTTCTCCTACTTGAGGAATTATCACTTTTTAAGTTCTCGATTTGCTGGGTAGAAAATTACATTTTATTTTTTTAATTTGCCATTATTTACTAGAGACTAAGAAGCTTTTTATATGCTTATTGGGTCTTAATGGGTGAATTGATTACTTGCTATGATTTGGTGTCCACTACAAAACTCATGTTGAAATTTGATCCCTGATATGGTTTGGCCGTGTCCCCACACAAATCTCACCTCTAATTATAATAATCCCCACATGTCAAGGGTGGGGCCAGGTGAATCCTAAGGCCAGTTTCCGCATACTGTTCTTGTGGTAGTGAAGAGGTCTCATGAGATCTGATGGTTTTATAAATGAGAGTTCCCCATGCACAGCTCTCACCTGCCGCCCGTAAGACATGATTTTGTGCCTCCTTTGCCTTCTGCCATGATTGTGAGGCCCCCCCCACTCATGAGGAACTGTGAGTCCATTAAACCTCCTTTCCTTTATAAATTTCCCAGTCTCGGGTAAGTCTTTATTAGCAGTGTGAGAACAGACTAATACAATCCCCAATATTGGAGATATAGCCTAACAGAAGGTGTTTGGATCATGAGGGCAGAACCCTCATGAATATATTAATAGTGGGTGGACATAGTGAGTGATTTCTTATTCTTTTAGCTCCTAAGAGAGCTGCTGATTAAAAACAGCCTAGCATCTACCCTGTTCTCTCTCTTGCTTCCTCTCTTGCCATGTGACCTCTGCACACACCAGCCCCTCTTCACCTTCTGCCATGAGTGGAAGCAGCCTGGGGCCCTCACCAGATGCAGATGCCTAGCCTTGAACTTTCCAGCCATCAGTCATGAGCAAAATAAACCTTTTCTTCTTTTTAAATTAAAAAAAAAAAAAAGAAAACCCTCTCTAGTGATATAAAGTGACAAAACATAAAATTGAATCAAATGCAAAGTGTGTTGTGGACCCCTGATGTTTTTGCCAGTAGAGGAAATGGGTTTAGTTAAACAAGGATGTGGTTTTGGAGGGGTCATTTGGAAAGGGAGGAGAAATGATGGGAGGAGAAAACGATGATCAGATCTCTGTAGGAGGGACAGTCACACAGATTTTAACGCCTTTTAACATGGGAGGTCACCATTCCCATCTACTCCTGATGTAGGCAGAGAAATGGGGAGAGGCAGAGGAGAGATGTCCGGAACAGGAGGGAGTGGCCAGGAGTCGGGCAAGTCAGTTGGCCCCTTCTGGGCTCAGTTCTATACCCTGGAAACCAGAAGTAGCAATATTAAATAAGATAAAGTGTTTGTCATGCAATGATACTGAATAAATAGTACTAATTGTCATATCTGATGCTTGGCAAACAACAGGAAATTGCTAAGTGCTGAATGAACCTCACTTTATGTTGTCAGTCACTGACCTCTTTCCCTGGCTTTTCCAGGTGCTGTGGACCTACTGACACCTCTTCTTTTCTGGTATTGTAGAACTTCTCTTGCCTTTCCAAGGCCAACCCCGCCCTCTGGGGTTCCTTTGGTCCCTCCCACTTGTCAGTCCACGGAGCTGGCATCCTTATCATCAGCTATGGGTAAGCCTATGCCTTGGTTTCACTGGTACAGTCTCAGGTGGTACCTGTTGTCCTCACGTTTTGTTTGTTTGGGTATTTGTCCTTTGTGTCGTTGTTTTAACAAAGCATTATTGTCAATAGCTGTGTTAAATCAAGCTGGGATGGATGTGGTGAACCTCCACTTTGTACCTGCAGCTTCTGCTGGGTTCTCACCTTACAGGTTGTGAGATATATACATAGTGAGCAAAGTGTTTTTTTTCGCAATTGATCACAGGGTAACTAACCCCTCCTTTTCGAGAACAGCATGAGGAGCACTCAGTGATAAAGTGCAGTCTCATGCCAGCAGCCTAGAAAAAGCTTGATTAGATGGAAATCAGAAGACACAGATTGCCAATCACAAGAAGCATCAGCATCTACTTCAAAAGTTAATAGCTACATTAAGAAGATGGTGCTAAAAGATAATTATTAAAATGAGGGCTACAAAAGGTGAGCCTACATATTACTCTATGAAGCATGACTTCATTTAGATCAAAAGACTGTTCTTCTAAGTTAATTATACTCATTACTTTCTCCAAGTTTTTTTATGCACACATGAAAAGCGAAGCAGTGATTGTTAATGTGTTGGCTCCATTACGAGAAGTCAACAGTTAAATGATGCCATCACAAAATTCAAACAGAAAATCATGATTTAATTTTTTCCATTTAATTCATGAAATCAAAAGTCTTGGAAATTCACTCATTTGTAGTTGAAGCATTTGACATTATTGTGATTAATATTGAATTCAGTTGACAAGTGCAACGCTGAAGGTAAAATTACTTATGTTGGGAAAAATAATGTTCTTACTAAATTAAGAAATCTGTGACTAGAAACGTACTTGGTCATGGTTGTTGCGTGTGCCTAATTCATAGCCGCATCCAAATAAGATACACCACTCCACCATTTGAAATAGGTGCAGTTGTCATAACTTAAAAAGATTTTACACAGATAGATTAACCAACCTAAAAAAGTTTATGACAAAGCTGAACACAAAAGGATATTTCCTAATGACAAACATGTTCTTTGTCCCCTTTTCCAATTACAAAACAACTTCACATTTTATGTTACAAAATATGGTCGTTTGCTGAAAACATTAAGCCTAACGTATTTTGATACAAACTCTGAACAAAACGCCACCCCTGCTACTACCCTGCACAATGATTATGTGTAATGAATAGCTTATCATCCTGTACAAAAGATTTTTATTCATGAGAACTGATGCTGCTTAAAAACATTGATTACTTCCAAATTCCCCAGAAGAGGTCTTACATATAGGCAATGTATAGGATACTTATTAAATTGGTGAAGTATACACTTAAAATTACATCCAAGAAAAGCAGTTTGAGAAAGAGAAATTAAAATGCGCTTGTGCATTTTTTTTCTTGCAACTAGTGTTAAATTCAGCTTTCTTTACTGATAGAATGCAAAACAAGACACCCAAGAAGAACCCCACTGTTGTTAAGTTACGAATTGCTATATGTAAGAAACCATTTCTTTGAAGGAAAATGCACTTAGTTTTAACTTAGTGTCACACCATGTATAACCTAAAGTTAGAAAAGTCACTTATTTGAAGGCACAATTCTGTTCCAGAAATATATACATGTACAAATCAAAATCATATTCAAGTCAAAATCATATACCAGACCTCACCTGGCAAGAAAAATGAGTTCACTGGTCTATCCTGTGGTTCCAGAGCCTCTGTCACTGTCACAGCCAGGCCTCTATGAGCAGCGTCCAGTTCTACAGGACAGAATGTTCTATTTCTTTCTTTCCTCTTGCTTTCTCTTTCTCTCTTCTTTCTCTTTCTTTCTTTGTCTTTCTCTTTCCTTTTCTTCTCTCTTTCCTTTTTCCCTCCCTCCCTTCCTTCCTGCCTTTTTTTCTTTCTTTCTTTTTCTTTCTTTCTCTTTCTCTCTTTCTTTTCTTCCCTCCCTCCCTTCCTTCCTTCCTTTTTTTCCTTCCTTCCTCTCTCCCTCCCTCTCTCTCTTTTTTCTTCCTTTCTTTTCTTTCTCTTTTTCTTTCCCTTCTTTCCTTCCTTCCTTCCTTTTTTCCTTCCTTCCTACCTACCTTCCTTCCTACCTTCCTTCATTCCTTCCCTTCTTTCCTTTCTTTCCTCCCTTTCTCCCTCCCTCCCTCCTTCCCTCCCTCCCTTCCTTTCTGTTATATTCACCATGGGAAAAGATTCTGCAGCCTCCTCAGGGCTTCCTTCATTTTATCTGAAAGGGCAAATGACTTCCCTTTCTAAAGTAGCATCAGCAACCACTTTTGTGGTATGAGAAACAGGAATTGAAGACCCAGCAGAAAGCAGAAGTCAGCTGCTACAGACGGCCTTGGCATAGCTTAAGCTAAAGGCTTTGAACAAGAATGAAACAAAACCCATAAGCCCTCATGTCAGAAGGAGATAGATATTTCAAAAAAAAAAAAAAAAAAGGCAACTTTCCCTTCATCTGCTTAAGGAAGAAAAAAAAAGAGTGTGTGGGGGCAGTGACTGGCTTCCTCAAGCCAGTAAAAGACAAGGAAGGTACATAAAATACTCCATGGTATTACTTTACTTCAAAATAGTAGTTTTCCTCGGGCCACTGGAAAATGTTTGATAGTAATCTATAAATGTATACATTTTTAAAAAGTCTAGGTCTAAGGTAATTACTAATCTCTGTGTGTGTGCCTATAAAGAGAAACAATTATTATGACAAAAGAAGATGCTAGAGAAGGAAAATGGAAAAACTTGAGTGGAAATGAACACACAACTGCTCCCCATTCTGGTCTCATGATTCTAAGCAGCCTTTTCCCTGAAAGCCTTCCAAATTAGTTTTGCTTGGGCTAGATGTTATGTCTCCTAATTTTTTTTTCTTTTATCAATCATCAAGAACATAATGTTGAGTTCAAATGATAATCCAACCTGGAATCTGATTTGCTTTTATTCCATTCTTACCTGCAAAAATCATAAACTAAGCTTTATTTCCCCCTTCACTGGGATATTTGTAACGACATGGATCAGACTCCTTGACGTGACTGGGATGTAGCCAGACCTCATAGAAAGTTGTGTTGGCTGACGGAGACTGTCAGTATTTCTAGGAAGGTTGTGTGCAATGAGATAGAACTTCTACAAACGAACTGTCTCAACACTGGAGGAAGTGCAGCCGCCCCCAGTGCAGCCCTGCCTCTTTCTTTGCTCTGCTGCCTTCAGCCATTGGAACTACAGCTTCTAGTACAAGCCCTTTTACCCTCCCAAATGCTTGGCATAAATGTCAAGATCTCTGAAGTGTTGTCTGAACGTTCTTTTGCTTGGCTTCAGGTGCTTCCCCCTCACTCCTGACCCTGAGGATGGGCTGGGGGGGAATTGCTACAGCCCCTAATGACTCCTTCCAAAGATCTTTCCTTTCCCTGCTTCTCTGTACTTTTCAACTATTTATGTAGGTTGGAGGTGGGTGGTTGCTAACACAGGCATGACTTGGTTTTGCAGCTTCTTCCCATGTTCTGCTTAGGTGGTCTAGTATCCTGGAGGTAATCACCATGGGCTCTGCTCTCCTTGACCTTCTCAACGTGTGGAGACAATAGAAGTACTTTCATCTAACAAAATTTCATTATTCACATAGAAACTTACCTTCTTGAGGAAATATTCAAGAAACGAGACTCCTGTCCTTAGAAATACGTGTGCCACCTTCCTGTATGCGTGTCTGAAGGTCCTCAGTATTCTTACCTCTTGAGATGGAGAAGACCTTTATTATTCATTCACAATCCTGTGGGAAGTGCAGGGAGCCCTTCCTTTAGAAAATATGCTGTTTATCTAAAGGTGGAGGTTTGAAGAACAGAGATTTTTAAGTATCACACTCAGAAACATAAGTGTTATGAGAGATAACAGAGTTTCCAATTACAGCCTTAAAACTCAACATATTCAAAATTAAACTTCTGATCTCCCCATCCACCGGTGCTCCATGTGCTGATTTTTCTAACACACTTGATGGCAATGTATTCCAGTCTCTTAGGCCCCAAATCTTGAAGACATCCATGACTTCTCTTTCTCTCTCTCTCACTCTACAGATAAGCAAATCCTATGAGCTCTATATTAAAAATATATCCAGGGAAATTCAGCTTCTGCTTAGGATGATAAAATTCAGAAAGAGTGTCATCTTCACTCTGACTACAAAAATGGATATACAAGAATATACAAGGAACTCAAATTAACAACCAAAAACAAATAACCCAGTTTTAAAGTAGGCAAATGATCTAATTAGACATTTCTCAAAAGAAGACATACAAATAAATGGCCAACAAATATATGGAAAAACATTCAACATCACTAATCAAAACTACAGTGAGACGTCTCATCCCAGTTGAGATTGGCTATTATCAAAAAGACAAAAAATAACAAATTCTGGCAAGGATGTGAAGAAAGGGAAATTCTTATACAGTGTTAGTGGGAACGTAAACTAGTACAGCCATTATTTAAAGCAGTATAAAGATTTCTCTAAAAACTAAAAATAGAATTACCATACAATCCAGCAATTCTACTACTGGGTATTTATCCAAAGGAAAGGAAATCAGAATCTCAAAGGGATGCTTGTGTTTATTACAGCACTATTCACTATTGTAAAGGTATGGAATCAGCATAAATATTCATCAACAGGTGAATGAAGAAAGAAAATGTGGTATATATGCACGATAGAATACTACTCAGCCATTAAAAAAAAAATGCATTCCTGTCATTTTCAGCAACATGGATGAGGCTGGAGGACATTGTTAAGTAAAATAAGCCAGGCACAGAAAGACAAATACCACATGTTCTTACTTATAGTGGGAACCATAAAAAAAAAAATGTAGCCCACAGAAGTAGAGAGTTACAGTTATCAGAGGCTGGGAATGGTAGGGGGTAGGGAGGATACCGAGAAGTTGGTGAACAGATACAAATTTCAGCTAGATGTGAGAAATGAGCTCTGATGTTTCACAGCACTGTAGAGTGCATATGGTAAACTATAAGTTACTGCATTTTTTAAAAAGCTGGAAGAAAGAATTTTGAATGTTCCCAGCACAAAGAAATGATAAGTGTTTGAAGTGCTGGATATCCTAATGACCCTGATTTGATCATTATACTTTGCATGCATGTTTCAAAATATCACTCTGTGCACCATAAATATGTATAATGATTATGTGTCAACTAAAATCAACAAAAAGGAACATCTACAAAAACAAAATGCTACAGCTAACATACTTAATGGTGAAAGATTGAAGCCTTTCTCTCATGATATGGATAGAGACAAGAATGTTTCTTCTCACCACTCTTTTTTAAAAAGCAGGAATAAACAAAAAGTTAATGGTTGTTTAAAGGATAATACTTAAATATTCAGAAAGTTAAAATTAAAAATATCTTGACTAGGGTTTTCTATGCGGTATATCACCATGATGACTCTGATTTTCCCTTTCCCAGAGCAGTTGCTCAGGAGGAAGGTAAAACAACTGATAACAGTCTCTGGGGCTTGCCTTCCCTTCTCAGGCCAGTTGTCCCCTGGCAGATCAAAGCACTGAAATGAAGAAGCAGCATCCTCTCCTCACCCCTCTCTCTTTCCCTTTTTGTTTTCGAGTATTTCTGAATAATAAATGTAAAATTAGGTTTGAATATATACCAAGAGCCAGATGACCACCCAACTCAAGATTGCATTTCATTCAAGGAGACTTAGCACAGAAAGGATTACCCTTCATCTCAGGGATACTGTGACAGAAGTCACAGATCACACATAAATGTCACTTGCAGTCTCTGAGCAAAGACAAAACTATTCATCTGTAAAATGAGGAGATTTGGACCAGGTGGTCCCACCTAGCCTGGCAAGCCAGAGCGAAAGCTCAGATCTTTCACCCTAAAAGGACTTGCTCTCTCTGCTAAAGTGGATGCAGAAAGGAAAGACCATCATACTGTGGCACCAACCTTCTAATATAAAAAAAGAATTGTGTTGGGGTTAAACTGTATCAACAAAGTGCAAATTTTTATCATACTTACAGGATAAATTAATTCTTGATATTTTAAAATTTATGTACGTTGCAAAACATGGACACCGAAGACTTTACTGTGAGTATATAAAATCTGAGTAAGCCAAGTGAATTACTTTAAATCCTGAGAGTCCATACATAATCTTCTGTATCTATTACGCCTCTCTAATTATGCATTCTCTTCCAGGTCCCTCCAACAAGAGTGTTTCATATCTCAGAGGTTCTAAAATGACTTTTTTTAAAAAAAGCTTCCAGAAATTATGATTCAAGGATTTGAAACCCTAATGTTACAGGCAAAATCTCATTTTTATAAAATATGAAGTGCTGTGTTTCTTTCATTCCTAATAGCTCATCAACAGAAGTCACTACTAAATTGCATTTCTACAGCCTTTCCAGGTAGCGGGATACTGCGTGTTTGAGCTCCACCCAACACCCAACAGGAGTGAGAAGTTTCATGTCTTGCAATTCTGCCACTGCATTTATTCCAGGCTTGGAGCGATCTCCAATTTGACACCAGGATGATCATCCTGTCATGCCTTCATTATTTGGAGTGTTGCTGTAACCTGTTCCTTTGTTTGTTTGTTTGTTTTTGGAGAAACACAAGACTTTCCAGATTCCATCTTGTCGGCCAGCTCTTCTGCTGATGTCATCATATCAATCTTATCAACTAAAAAGCCAGAGGTAATTCCTTCCGTGGTTTTGTTTGGGTCTTGCAAAAATTAAAAACAACTTTCTGCAGCACTTGTGTTGGTATTGCCCGATTTTTAACGGCCCTTTCATAGAGCCCGGTAGCATCACAGGTGCCTTTGCTTGCTCACAACTTTGCTTTGTAGAACCAGAATTTAGCAGTTCTTTGGCCTCAGGAATACTGAACAATATGGCAGATATTTCACTAAAAACCACAGCCCTTTCAATGAGCTGCAGACATTCTGTCAGAGTGTTGTTAGTTTGACTGAGCAGTTGAAGCTGTGCTTTCTTTTCTTCCTCTTCTTTTTCAATGCTCTTCCAGAATATTTATTTTATCTATTATTTTTCTTTTGTTTTATGTGTCATAGGAGGCCACTTACAGATTTTCCCCTTAGGTTTCTGTCATTCTTCCAGTTATTTCCTTTGATCCTCTGCTATTATCTTCTTTTCAATATTTGTATTCATTGGGTTCCTTTTGAGACTCCTTTGCCATTCATGATTGTGTCACCAGCTCGAGTTTTGGGAGCTCTCTTGTTGAGAAAATGGAAGAGCCTTTTTCAACTTGGAGTCCAATGCCTGTGCTTTGTGTTGTAAGCTCTTGTGGCATTTGTCCCCATTAGTTCCATTTGCTCTTATGCCAGCAGTGCTGGGAACAACTGAATTTAAGCTGCCAACTGTCAAA